TGCAAAAATGCATTCTGTCTCCGCTAAATTATCATTCCAAAACACCCTCCACATTGGAAAGATCTTTCCCAAAAAATATATATTCCTGAAAATTCCTGCAAGACTTGCTGTGATGGTGACATCAGAATTCCATTTCTCCTTCACCTTACAATTCAGGGAGCTTTATTAAAACCATCTCATCTGATCACTCAGCAACATTCAGCAAATATTTCTCAGGTTACCTCTGTAGCTCTGGAAAATATAGTGTGGGTGTGGGCAGCTGAATAACGGTCCCTAGATATATCCACATCCTTGTGCTAAAACCTGTGAATAAGTTACCTTTCATGGGATAAGGTACTTACAGGTGTAAGTAAGGTCAGGATCTTGGGATGGCGGCTCTTCCTGCATTATTTGGGTGCGCCTCACGGGGGTCTTTACAAGGAAAGATTCAGGAGAGTCAAGAGATGGAGATGGGAAGATAGAGGCAGAGGTCACGGTGATGTGGGGCCTTGAGCCAAGTAATGTGGGCAGCCTCTAAAAACTGGAAAAGGCAAGGAAATTCTCCTGTACAGCCTCCAGAAGGAATGAAGCCTGATCGACCTATTTTGAACTTCTGACTTCTAGAACTTCCAGGTAATAAATGCGTGTTGTTTTAAGTTACTAATTTCGTGGTATTTTTTTTACAGCAAATGAATACAGGGGGAGTCAATGAAATATACAGCCACCCTCCAGGTAGCTTTACTGGACTTTTATCACCATTAAGGCATTTCTTGTTTTTGTTTTACTGAAGGGTCTTTAGATTATATCGTCCAAAAGAGCTTCCTGAATAGCACGAACTTTTAAAGTCTGGAAGGGACACTTACAGTGACCCAGCACACACACTTGGAGTCTCCTCTTTCATTGCCACATCCCTCTTCACTCCCATCTGTCATTCCCCTCCTTCCCAGCTTAACCACAGTCTCAGTCTTGACGGTAGTATTTGATTATAAGACTGTGCAGTGGTACAGTCAGATCTTTTGGGTCCTCACTGCATCAAGTAATAATATTATACAGTATAAATGACACCCCTATTTTCTCAAATGGAATAAGTAACAGTTCAACACACTTTGCATTCTAGCTCAGCGACAAATGGCTCATGCTTTTGTTGTCCTTGCAAAGTATCTTTTGCAACTTCCCAGTCTCCCATGATCACAGGGGACACTGTTACACAAACATTGCCTCTGTTTTCATAAGAAATTAAATAATTAAAAAATAAAGGTAAATGAAAACTTTTTAGCAACATATATTTTAATTACAAAATTAGTACGCACAGATTGTCCTTTCCAATTACTTTTCAACTCAAATCAATAGAATTTCAAAGAACTACACATTTACTTTTAAATTTCAATTAGGAAAAAATCTGAAGCAATTAATGACTGTTATCAATTATAATAATGCATTACCATAAGAAAACTCCATCAACCCTTTTTAAGTACTATTGAATATTCTAAACTCAGTCACAATTAACTAAGGTTAGCCATAAAAAATAAATCAACTCCTGAGCTTAAAATGATCTCAACAACCCAAACCAGTCTAAATGAACCTACTGTGAACCTAGGGAGAGAGCTGTCTCATGCTATCACCTTCTTTGCAGTAATGGTAGGGTTTGATCCCAAAGGGAATACCTCTTGTTTCATTTTGTCCTGTTAATATATTAATGATGAGTACGATTGCCAGCCATCAGTTTTTGATTATATAACTATGATGACACAGGATATCTGTACTTCACTTCTACTTATCTTGTATATAATAGAGAGAATTTGTCATCATGAGCAGGACAGTACTTCATAAATTACCGAATGAAGTGGCCTTGATGACTAGTACTTTCTTTCATTGAAACCTGTAGAAATATTGTCGGTCAGCAAGAAGCAAGTACTTGTCTCCTCACAGTCCAAACTCCTCTGATACCATTTGGGTGACCACTGAATTAAGAATCCCTCTTTCCATATACCCCGTTTCCAGGACACTGACCCCTGACACATGCCAAGCACATAACTCTCTTGAGTTTCCTTGGTTTTCATTGGTGATTTATCATCAAAGACAGAAGTATAACCTAATAACTATGTAAGAAAGACTTGCATATATGGAAAAAAAATCAACACAATCACATAGAAACACAAATCAGGGGTCAAAATACTGTCAAAAAAATCTTTTTAAAGTTTCCATTATGAAAACTGTTACTGCTTAACTCTGAGAAAAGCAACACCACCAAAAAGGTTAAACAGAATGAATGTACAATGTTGGTAATATTAATGATTACCTTAGATAACTACATAAACAATTTTCCAGAGACAATTGCTATCAATTAGAAAAAGCTAAAATATACAGCTAAGCAGACCTTGCCCTGCTTTGTTCTATCAGATAGAGAAGCAGCCTTAAGACATGGGTCTTTATTAAAATAGACTCTCACTTTTCCAGGGCCACAACCTGAAAGTTCACTTCCTTAACTGAGATACAACCCATTAATTACTTGTCATGTGACAAAACATAAAAATAAAAACCGTGGTCTTTGAACATTTACAAGAGATTCAGGTTGTTTGACTAAATGTATAGTAAAATGGTCAAGAGTTAGCAAGCTCTCGGTATAAAAACTAATATTCGAACATAGAAAGGCCCTTTCAGAAAAAAAAAGAAGACCCACAATTGGCTTTGGAGAGGAAGGAGAATGCAAGCCAGCACATGACAGTGAAGGACTGTGTGCCACCAGGTAAAAATAAATGACAGAGGAGCCCACACACAGGCCAGTAAGGTGAATTCAGAGACTGGCAAACAAAACAGCCAAAATAAGGTCAAGGACAAATGTAAGGCAGCAGGAAGTCAAAGCAGGAATGGCTTGAGTTTGAAGGCAAAGGCAGAACTCTGAATTTGACAGAGGGGAGTGATGGGAAGCCACGTGTCTATTTAGAGGGGTCGCAAGTAGTGGTTGTAAAGTTGGTCAATGAAAACAAAGAAAGGACAAGAGGGAATCAGAAGTTCTTTAGAAACAATGATTCAAAATTCTGGAATGCAAGCTGCATACAGGCATATTTCAGCACGAGCACAGCAAACACTGTGCAGCAGTATAATGCATTTTCCTTATTTTACATCTGTTCCCAGCCATTTTCATGGGTTCACATATATATGATCTATTTCTTAAATTAGGACAGTCTACTTTCATATTAAAAGGCAATATGTCACACCACTGTCACATTAACTATCCTCAGAAAGGTTCAACCGTTGATTGACAGAAATGGGCATTTTGACAGGAACTTCCCAGGACCAAGTAACCCACACTGGAGAACACTACTGGAGGAAAGATAGCAGTACCTTGTATTAGCTCAGCAGGGAAAGTACCTAAATTGTTCTTCTCACTTGTTAATAGACTAACATTTAGTCCAACAGCTCTAATTTGTAGTGAAATTTTTGACTTTCTCTCCTGAAAACTGAAAGTCAGGACAATGGCTTTCTGCATAAGGCTTGTCTACAAATTCTGTGACTATTCACACATAGCGTACGGAGCTGAGTGAAGAGCTTTCAAAATAGCAAAGCCAATCTAAAGAATATTAGCCTTATCTTTTAGCTAAATGCCATACGTGTGAGAATATCTTAACTCAAAGGAGGCAATATACGATAAGATTCTCTTCACAAATGCTAGTTTTAGTAATAACTTCTAGTAATGGGAAAAAAGAAGATTAAGTTTGGATGAATAATAGAAGGCTAATAAAAGATACCAACCTGGCTTTTAAATTCTTAGTGGGGCTTACTGCTTTGATTTTAAAAATAATAATCACAGAGATAGAAAAAAGACAATTTAACATGTCAGCACTCAAATGAACATCATAAGAATGAATGAAGAAAGAAAGGAAGAAGGAAGGAAGGAGGGGAATTAGCTAGCAGTTAGTGAGGAAGGAGACCGAAGAAGGAAGGGAAGGAGGAAGGAAGGAAACTAGACCCCTTTGAACAAAGAATCGTAACTTCATTTTTAATATTCTTTCCTTATACAACTAAAAATCTTATTTAATTCCTTAAGAAAGAAAACATCCATGGCTATACTGTGCAACTGTAGCTCAGGGACCATGTGATATTTATTTATAATCTGAGAAGTCTTTGTATTTATTCTCAGGTAATAAGGACTAAATACTCAAAAAGAGATTCCTGCAGAGGGTCAGGTAACTGGACAATATGATTTATAGTTTCAAAATCTGAAAGATACCTTATTATGAGAAGCGACATTTTCTTCCCTCTCTGTACATATTCTACATTTTTTCTGAAGCATTATTTACTTTACTCTTAAAAATGTACCACCTGATTTATCCTTGAGGTCTTTCAGTCTCAATTCATGACAATCCTTGTACACATTGTTCCTAAAAACTCAAAAATGGGTTTCTCAGTTATGTAATAATGAACTTCATTCTTCTGTACAAATTAAACCAGGTGTTATAAAGTCTTGGTAAATGAAAAACTGGGTTTAAAAAAAAAATTGACCAATCTATAGCAGGCTCAGCTTTTTTTGAGAGGGGTTAAGGTGCATACAGTCAACTGGTTATGAAGGTCACCAAGCAAACGTTGCAATCTTAAAGCGCCATTGACATGCAGTCAGTGTGCGGCAGCAGCTCAGGATTGATCCACGTGGCTTTTTCTCTTTACTCGTTATTGTTTCAAAATCATTCATAAATGTACATTATGAGGGTCTGTTATATTTGCAGCAAAATGTTCTAAAAATTAGGACAATTTTTTCATTAAATTGAAATAAAAATACTTAAATAATATAACTTTTAAAAATTTGGCTTCCCCATACCCAGCTTTTGTTACAGGAAAAGTGACCCACAGGTTCAAAATTTCACAATTGATTTCTTCACGGTAGATACGAGCTATGACAAATCTGCCCCTTAATTATTCATTATCCACCTGCTAACAATGTCTAAATTACCAAACTATTTCAGTTGGAGATTTTGTGATTTTCATGGGAAAGAGCTGAAAACCACAAACCACATTACATGTACCTTTAGCTTTCTAAGTCAAAATCAGAAGAAAGTACTCCTGGTGTGAGGACCTCCATCCATCTTCTGCCTGCTTCTGACCTGCTGTTTTCCTGTTGGGGAATGACAGTTCCTTGAAAAGCAAATACGTCCCCACGCGGAATGGAAATGTTCATCTTCTCAGTCCATGTTGCATGTACACATCTCCCTGAGAATCATTTAGTGAGTGAGTTGGACTTGCAGCTGATAAGCACAAAGCTGACCTTTAAACCCCAGCCTTTAATAGAGCATTGGGTTATTTCACTTTGTGTTTGCTCAACAGTTCCAGGGGTCACAGGGTCTGGGTTTACAGAGGTGGGGCAAGCTGGGGAACCTTGCTCCAACTCCCATGCTGCAACTGATGGAAGAGGGTTGGAGACTGGGCCGGTAGGGGCCTCAAGCCCCAATCTCAAGTATGCCAAATATCACAGGTGTTAGAACACATTCTGAAGTCTTTAGTGTCTAGAGATGACTGAATCACACAAGGCTGAGGACTAGCCCTTAGCTACCAACTACAGGGGAAATGAGAAAAAGTCTTGGGGGCTGGGGAGGAAGCTTTTTTTCTCTTCACTTCCACCTTGTCCCAGTGTTGTACCAAGTGGCACAGCTTGAGACAAAAGGAGAAATCAGTAACATTGATCTTGTCTTTATTAAGAAATTAATATTTTTTCCATCATGGACATTTTTGCACTGCTTCTGACTTTTTGAAAATAGTGCATTAACATAACATTTGCCTTTATTACTTATTCTTTTGGCACCCCCTTCAATTTGGTGCCCAAGGCAAGTGTCTCATTCCCCTGCCCTGTCCCTGGCCCTGCCCTGTCACCTCACTGCTCCCATCTTAAATCTTCATGTAAAAATGGAGGCAGATCTAGGCAGGTTGGTGGAGATGCTTACAGCTGAGGTGAGAAGCGGAGAGGGCCCAAAGTCATACGGAAAAACATTACTGACCATGTACTGTGCGCCAGGCATGTGCATTCCTTCTGGTCCTCACCTGCGAGGGAAGACCTACTAATCTTTAGCTGAGAAAGCTGAGGCTGTGAGGAATTCACTTCCTTCCACTTTCCTCCATCCCAGGAACTGGCTCTACCAATCACCTGGCACTCAAGCAGAGACCTGGGGGCTGTCTCTGAGTCCTCCTCTCTAACCCACTCAATCTACTGCCAACACTTGTCACTGTTCGTGGTCACCCAAGTAGTAATTGGAAGAGTAAATTTCAAAAGATGGTCTGTTTGATGACAGTGCAGACTCCTTTTGCCATATCTGCCACTTTTCCAAAGAACATTAGCCTCATTGAATTGTTTTGATGTCCTATTTTCTGGTCTAGGACAAGGCTAAATTATTTTTAAGCACCGACTGTTTTGCAAATTTATCCAGTATATTTTACTTTGATCTTGAATAAAAGCCCTCTCTCTGGCCCAGGACACTACTCCGAGCACTGGATTCCAGCTGCCTGACATCTCCGCGTTGATATCTCACACATATCCAAATGAACAGGTTCAAAACAAGACTCGGTCTCCCCCTCAAACCCTGCTTCTCCCCAGTTGCTTCCATCTGAGGTGCTGGCACCACCAACCACCTAGTATTCAAGCCAGAAACCTGGCAATTGTCTTTGACACCTCCCTCCTCCTTCCCATCCAAACCATCACCAACACCTGTCCCTTTAAGTAGTAAAAACAATTACAGCAATACTTATTAAAGCATCCTCTGTGTGCCAGGTACTCTTATGATGCATGTACAGCATTATTAACTTGTTCAGTATTCAAAACAACTCCATGAGATGGCTCCTATCATTATTTCCATTTACTACTAAGGAAGCGGTGGCATAGGAAAGTTCATTTGCCTGAGGTCATATACAGTTAGCAAGTGAGGAAATTTTTATTCTAACCCAGCCATCCTGGCTTTAGAACACACACTTTGAACACTTACACACTATACCCCTAAAATAATCCCTGATCCGTTCACCTTCCTAGTTTTCCACTGCCCCGTCTTCATCCAAGCTGCCATCATTGCTCACTCTAGCAATTGCAAAAGCCTCTAAGTGGTCATCTTGGTTCTATCTCTACCTTACTTTAACACATCAATCTTCATGAAGCAGCCAGCCTGATCTTCAAGTTCATATCAGATCATGCTGTTTCCTCTGCTAAAATTATCAAAACTGTTCAGCTGCTCTCTGAATAAAATTCATACTCCTTAATGTGGCCTACAAGGTCCTATGTGAACTGGCCCCAGCCCTCTCCCCAGATTTTGTCTCCTACCCATCTCCACTTCACTTACTGCCTATTTCACTGGCCTTCCTGCCCTTCCTGAAACCCAGCAAATTCTTTCCTGTCTCATGGCCTTTGCACATACTGTTCCCTCTGCCTGCAATG